TTTCTTTGATTTCTAATTATTCGAAGTCTCAAGTCAATAATACGTCTCTTGTGGAGCCAGTACACGGTCACATTATATCATTGCGTTCACCTGTCGATTAGCATTCTATTAACTGATTCTGACAATCGAGAATTTCATACACTCAAAATTTTCTTCCATAACAGTTTTTCAAAGTAATATCATCAGAACCTACTTCTTTGTCACTAAATTAACTAGCGGAATGTTGTAACACTGAGTGCACCGTAAAATTAGTTATGATTGTGCGCTGGTCGATGTCTAGTGATATAACCAGTGGTTGAGTGGTTATTACTCATGAAAAGGCAGAATAAATGCACAGTAAAACCTATTTCCCTCTAATAAAACAGTACACGTATTTACAAAATATATGATAAAAAACTTTCGTGACTGAAAGTCATTTAAAATCTTCCACGTCTGAACATTACCTGTCAGTTAATAAAACTATGATTTAAGTATTTGGCCAAATTCCAGCTTACCAGTTAGTTATTTTTTGAGCTACAGTACAGGAAACATTGCAAGTTACATGACAGTATCATTTTGAAAATGTTAAATGTTGTAAAGACATTTTTCTTTGTATGTCTGCTGTATCTGTTCTTCCATGACATTTATTTCTTATACTCACCAAACTTTTAAACTCATTTTGTCAACCGATCTTCCAAGTAAAAGTGAATACTGTAAAATGTCCCGTTGTTTCGTTGATCATACGATATATTTGACTTCAGTGGTTGGAAATTGCTTTCTAGGTTTCGTTGTTTTTCTGTCAGTGGACGTAGAGCCAATATAAAATGTAAGGGAGTGACTGACTTGATATTAATTTTCTTGCTTTGATGCATAAATTAATCGTTATTGTAGCTTCAGTGTTACTAGCCAACTGTTTATATCCTAATTGAACTAGTCACAGTCGACAATGAACTAGTTTTACGTTAACAAAGAAAGTTTCTAAAACAGTGAACTGATGATTCAATTAGTCCTTCCAGTCATAGGTTTGGTATCACCACCTGAAATTTACGCAGTGAACCGAAACATGTTACATCAAGATAGAACATTGGAGGTTACTAAAATAGTGAACGAAGTCTTGGATAGGGTAAACCAACCTAATGTATTATGAAAAATCACACACTATTTAGAAAATATGGAAACATGCATTAAATATACTATTTTTATTTATCTTCCTTGAGTTTTCCCATACAAACTCCATCGTTCTTCCATTCCTGTTTCCATTTTGGCTGTATTCTGCTTTTTTTCTTCTTGTTCTCTTCACTTTCCTTTTCTGTTCCTAAAACTTCTGCTTCCAGTTCCTGTTACATGTTATTTACATCTGTCCGTACAAGTAGTACACACCACATTAGTCAACAGTCCGATTGAATTTTTATTTATTTTATCATCGAATCACTGAATTATAACTTGATAGTCAACAGATTGCAAGACCTGAATGTTATCTACTCTACGTTGATTACTCACAATAAAAGTGGCTGAAATTAAAACGAAGTACATGTTTAGTGTTCGATGGTTCTCAGTAGTTCATCAACTGGTCTCAGTCTATGATTAGGGTTGTTTTTCAGCTGAACACATTTCTACAAACCAAACGGTTGAACAAATGTTTGATTTTATTAAATTGTCGTCTGTGTCTTTCTGATTTATTGTTTTATCTAAATCTAAATAGTTATTTTTATAAGTAAAATTCAAAGTAATGAGTTATACTAAGATTATTGTTATGTTGTCAAGTGCATATTAATTCCGTCCGAAAAGTAGATTATGTAGATGATGCGTTATAAGTCACTGCATAATTCTCCTCACCGAATTACATTGGGATCAATGATTTAGTTTATGTAATCGTGTGATAGGAAAATAATGAGTTAATATGAATTAACAGTTGAATTTTGTTAGCTCATTCAAGTCTCTTAAAAATGGAAGTAATTATGTTAAAGTCCATTTTAAAAATTTGTTGCATAAAATTACTGTAACATTTATGATATTCTCTCAACCATGACAATTATTAAATCAATCAATCAGTAAGTCCAATATCAGTTATCCTAACTCAGAAATGATGTCTATCAGTCAAAATCGTTATGAATAAAGCTGTGCCATTTCATGTGTATTTTTAATTTGTTAATTACATTCAGAGAGCATAGTGAACTGATATAATCTTGCACACAGGTTTAGAGAAAGGAATTATGTTGTGATAATATCACGCTTGATTATCTAAGCATATAAGTGATATGTTTGGACGAAGTAATTTGAAAGGAGATTTTCAGCTAGGTACTTTCATCAAAACAAATTATAACTCATCTTTGGATTTGAATGATTAAAATAATAACTTTAATTGACACATGTATTCTATTAATGAATATTAATGAGTGGTGAAATGAAGCTTGTTGTCACGATGATGAAAGAAATAACAAAATGATAAGAATGGATATCATTAATGTTCTTATATTGTCTCTACTTTGTTGGTTACTTAGAAGTGCTGTTTATTTTGAGCTTAATTTTTGTCTTAAAGTGGCATCATTTGAGAAAGCATAATAGATTGAGGATCAGTGGACGGATGTTTCATCATATTTATGAACTCTTCCGCAGTGCACAGTGATAAATCCTTAAGTCATAGAAGCGAAAACTATTCAACCTCTCAATGAATGGGAATCTCGTGTTCCACAACTTTTACATCTGTTAATATTTGCTATGGGTGCATTTCTGTCTAATTCTCATCTCATGTTGACATTAAAAGTCACAACTGCTTACAAAAGTTTAATATAGTTATCACAGGGTATCATGATGTGTTGGTTCTAAATTCTGATAACTCCAAGAAGTTGATAGACAAATATATAATTAACTTCACTATATACTTATGCTAACACAAATATCATGAGGGTACAAATTACAGTTTAAATTGATGATTTTTTTTCACCAAAATGACACTGAAATTGTGGTTGCAAATACTGAAGAAATAAGACATATTACTGCTATTTGAGAGGAATTTTAGTTATACGTTTTAGTAAACGCGTTTTATAAGATGGAAATGAAAGCGAGATACTGTCTTCTATGAACGTGAAACCAACTGTTCAACATATAGAAAAGTGCTTTTTCCATTCAATTCACTCGAAATGACTTCAACGTATCCCGAATTTTATTTTAATTACAGCTGTGACGTAATTGTATTTATATATCAAACAATATGAAATAACTCGTGAGTGCTCCTCAGGAATAATCTCAAGTTTCATTCGAAGGATCTAAATCATGAGTTGTTCGATTTTCACATGTAAAACAGCCAGAATGTAGTCGACACATCGAATTTAGCTAGTAAATTGAAGTCTCCTGAGTTTTACATGTAATAATAAAGTGTTAAGAAATATTCTATTGACATTATTGAGCTTGGTTTAATACAGAGCTAATCATGGTCGGTGAACTTTAAGATGTGAGATTGATATTATAAGTCTCATCTTGAAATAGAAATAGCGGTTATTGCGTGAAACAGTGAGAAGACGATCATCATTATGTGATAGTAAGTAGAATTCTGGAGTACATAGTCATCAGGATACTATGGCTTTAGACTAGGAGATAATTCCACAGTTCAACATTAGTACTTTCTTGATGGAGGTAATTACCTTTCGCTCTATTAGATAAGGATATACTAGTAGTATACGTTCACTCGTATTGAATCAGTCGGTAACCAGGTGAAAAGCATCTTTCACAATAGAAATGTTGTTTTCTTTATCTCCATCATAAGCAATGATTAAGGTTAATTACGGCTGAAAAAACTCAACTGACTTGGGGTTAAATCTTCTCCCATAGAATGGCCACCAATTTATATATGTAGCATTTGTGAATTGTACAAACTAACTGAACAAAATTTCAGGTTTACGAGTGCTGTAACACAATTCTGGAAAAGCAAAGTGAACCGAAATATTTTCTGATGCCTAATGTTTGTCTGCTCTCTGTTCTCATGTATTACGATCTACTTTTCGTGCTAAGCTTAAATTTGCGAAGAGTATTTTAACTTTAGACCAGTTGAAGCTGATTGCTCACAGTATAGAAGTCACAGAGATTTAATCATCAGTCATTAGTGACACCAAAATATTACATTCAACACAGATTTATATTCGTCCATTATATTTATTCAAAATTAGACGGTTCTGTTACTTATCGACTAAATAAGTATCAAAGTGATCGGATGAAGCAAACCAGACATACTAATAAACATCAAGTTGACGATGACATAAGAATTAATTGATGCACAGAACAACAGCAAGAAGAGTATATCAAATTTTATTCACGTAAACAATTGAACGATGACAGCTAAGATCCAACATTTAATATAATAAATATTCGCTCGATTACGCACTCTTTTCCGTTAAGGTGGTTATATAAAACTGAATGATTTTTAAATGCTCTTATTGACAAACTCTGTGAATGATATATCACAATTTGTAATGATGGGTTGGATTATCTACAGTTCACAGTATTTGATGTTTAAGGACAATAAAGTGCACGAATTAATGAATTCCTATGACACAAATGACCAACATAAAATAGTCAATCAATAACATTTACTTCATTTGTTGATTATCAGAAAATGCATCTTACATGTAGCACAGTTTAAAAGCATATTGACCGACTGACCCATTTAAACAACGCAGTGATGTTGACCTATGGACAATTGATTAAACTATACCTTTGAAAATTTAATATGAAACAACCAGGTCACGATGTTTAAATATATTTTCTAAAATCTTTGCAATATGACGATAATTATTAGTAAGTTCACTGTTAAAACATGATTATATATGCAATGTCAAACTATATGAACATATTTAATATCATTCGGCTTGAATATAGGTAAAAGCAATTAAAACAACAAAAAATCCATTTAAATTGTGATTTGTTGTAATGATTTAAATTCAATCCTTAATGGATGAAATTTACTAACATAAATTACGGCAAACTTTCAAATTCTGTTATTAATATTTCTAAATTAATGATTATCAATGAAATCATCATCATCATCATCATCATCATCATCATCATCATCATCATCATCATCATCATCATCATCATCATCATCATCATCATCATCATCATCATCATCATCATCATCATCATCATCATCATCATCATCATCATCATCATCATCATCATCATCATCATCATCATCATCATCATCATCATCATCATCATCATCATCATCATCATCATCATCATCATCATCATCATCATCATCATCATCATCATCATCATCATCATCATCATCATCATCATCATCATCATCATCATCATCATCATCATCATCATCATCATCATCATCATCATCATCATCATCATCATCATCATCATCATCATCATCATCATCATCATCATCATCATCATCATCATCATCATCATCATCATCATCATCATCATCATCATCATCATCATCATCATCATCATCATCATCATCATCATCATCATCATCATCATCATCATCATCATCATCATCATCATCATCATCATCATCATCATCATCATCATCATCATCATCATCATCATCATCATCATCATCATCATCATCATGCTAATTATTATATTATTAAAAATGTCACTATAATTTCTTCATTTTTCTGTTGCACATAAATTATTTTTATAGTTCCCTTTGGTCAAATAAAATCACTAATAATAGTAATCATTATACTTACAGAATTAAACTTAAATGACCTTAATTTAATGGTCAAATAAACCAATTCACTTTATAATGAAGTGTTTGACATTCTACTTTTATGTGTTTGAAAGATTAGAATGTTAGTAGGAAGGAGAATAAATTATGGGTGTGTGTGTATGTGTACGAATAGAAGGGATATGAATGATGTAGTTAAGTGGATAATAAAAAACATGTTAACCAACTAGTAAATTTCCTCATTCCGATTGACCTATTCTTATGTCTGTTTATTTGTTGATACTTGTCTCTACTTGTTTTTTATCCTAGTTACGATTATATCTTCGTTTGTGTACCTTTTTAATGTTCATATTTATTGTCATATGAATTAAAGATCAAACAATTAAAATAAAATAAAGTAACTTAAATTCCATGAATGACTAAAAAGAAATTAAAACAAAAATATTTAATTACTGTCATGTAAACTCAACAACAATTTGTTTGACCTATTAGGAAGTGAACAATTAATACTAAGTAGAACTTTCGTTCAAAGCATTGAACGCATAATTCTTATAAATATTATTAAGAACAATGTTTTTTTTGAAGGGGCTTAGTAAGTGATTTGGAAGTGTCTCACTTAGAATCGGTAGACTTTTAAAGTCGAAAATGAAAACATGATAAATCTATGGTTCTGTTTTGTTTACAGTAATTTAACAATTGAGATTAGATGGTAATGTAAGTAGTATTCAAGATGATAAACACTTATCAGTCGTTGGAAAATAACAGATTGAAGTCCGGCTTATAAAATTGTGACCAAATTATAGACTTGGTCAATTCACTTAGTACAGGGAGCTAGGTACTTACTTACTTACTAACGCCTGTTACCCATGGTGGGGCATAGGCTGTCGACTAGCATTCTCCAACCCACTTTGTCCTAGGCCTTCCTTTCTAATTCTATCTAATTGTTGTTTATTCTTCTTATGTCTGTCTCCATTTCTCGGCACAGAGAACTAGGTAGCATAATATATTTTATTTTTCATCGATCATTTAACATACATGGCTTAAACTTAAATATAGTTAGCTGTTAATGTCATTAATTGATGAGAATTCGAATAAGTGAGGTAGACTAGCTTTCTTTGAGTCCGGGGACTTACTTTTCTGATGAGTATCAATTATGTCTTTTGGGGTCCACTTGTAACTTGATAACTGGTTCTATAATTTTGTTATCTTCCTCGTCCAAATCTTCGTTCTTTTGTTCTTTCCAATAGTCTTGGACGTATCTGTCATTGAAATATATGTAATTACCTCTAATGGTACATTCGCTTCGCCATCTCTGGTGCGCATCGTTCTTCTGTCTTTATAGATTTGTTTCCTATGTCTGATGAATGTTTTGATTTCGTCCGTGCCCATCCACTGTTTTAGGCGGCATATACCGTTGGAAATAGTCCTAATACTTCTTCAAAACGTGACTTTGGTAGAGAACTTTTCGCCTGGGTGTAGTTCTATAGGCTGTACAGAATTTTGTGATTACCTGACTAGTTTTCACCTTGTCTCCGCCTTTTAGTAATGCTATTTTAGGTGTATCGACAAAGCGTTCTATCTTTTCGTTCAGTTGAGTATGATAAAGTACAGAGCGTAAATTTGTTATTCCATTTACACTACAGACGTCCTTTGAATGACTCTGAAATGAATTGTGAACCACTGTCAGTCACTAAGGTATCTGGAACTCAGAAACAAGTAAACAAAGTAGACAACTTGTTTATTGGACGGAATCTCTGTCTTCTTTATAGCATCAGGAGGCTTCGTCGTGCTTTTTGAAGTCATTCCAAAATAAAAAATAAAATGTCTTTGTATATGCTATATTCAATGATCGAATAAACCCACTTAGTTTCGATGATGCATTTAACTTTCTTCTCTGTATGTAAGCATAGAAGTGTGCATGTGCAGTTATCAACTGAGAAATTCAATTGATTATAAGATGGAAGAAAAACACTGTTTTGTACAAAAGATGAATTCTGTGAAGTTAAATGATGAACAATTTTAGTATATGACAAAGTGGTAATTTCTGATTATTTATGTTGAAAAACTGTAAAATAATACATTATTACATATGTTAAAGTGTAAATCAATACTTTATAATTTATATATATAGAAAGATAATCTGGGTCGCATTATCATTTTGTATCGACGAGATTTTGAAAAAAAGAAACGATGTTATTTCAAAGTATTTTGTTTCTAAGGTAACATTAGCTAGAAGGTCAACGAAAACTAAGTTGTTGAATCCTAGATTCCTACTCATCTTAAGAAAACAATTCAAATCATAAATTAAATATGATATTACTGATATATAAATTTGAATGGTTCACAATAAATATGAAGGTGCTTATTTAACTAATATAATGAAATTAAAATCATTTATTTAAAACTAACTAGTTTGTATCATAATACGAAAACATAAAATTATTATTGAGTATGATTTAACTATTGCAATGTATACTTTTTATTCATTAGAAAAACATGGAAATATGACCTTCCCTTTTTATTAGTTGAAATTAATTTTGTATTATGTAATAAACTTATAATTCATTATTTGTATTAAAAGGGGTTTTTGTAAATATTATAGTAATTTATAGTAATTATAGTAATCCATAATATCCACAAAAACCTGTTCTGATACTAATCAACATATGTTCACTAGTGACTGGCTTCAAGAGGTATATCTTGGAGTTCTAGTGAGAAGCAGTGACCAGTGGAGTTTAACCGGGTTTGTTGTAAGATAGTAACTCACTGATGACAATAGTGGATGTGTCGCTCAATTTCGTGGATTAGTTGAAGTTAGACATTAAAACCGTTGTATTCCGGCCGACTCAGTGGTCTAGTGGTCAAGCGTTCGCAAGTGAGACCAAACGTCCTGGGTTCGAATCTCACGAGGCATGGATGCGCACTGCTGAGGAATTCAATACTAAGATGAAACGGCTATCCAGTACTTCCAGGTTTAGCTTCAATTGACTCATGATATCAACTATTGAAATTACCATAATGTTCACAAAAATTCCTGGTAAAATCATTTATTTAATACTAAATAGTTTATATTATAATACAAAACATTATTAATGAGTATAATTTGACTACAGTAATGTATACTTCATATTCATTAGAAAAACACGGAAATATGATCTTACCTATTATTTGGTCTAAATTAATTTTATATTATATAATAAACTTATAATTCATTATTTATTCATTTATTGAATTATATTTTATGAGATATTATATAATAGTTGGTATTGTAGAATGTATTCATTGTCACATGTTCTACATACATTATTGTATATAATCAAGATCATAATTTACATATACATGAATGAACACATTATCAAAATGATTTTGTTCTATGATTGTAACAGGAATATAATTATTTATTTAATTATATTATATTATACTTTCATTTAAAACATTAATTATCATTATGATAGATATTTTATCTGATTAATTAATGGGATTATCCTATTATTATTATTTATTCAATGATTTCCTAGTATTAATTATTTAATGCTTATCATGTCATTATATATATTCATTTTATTGACAGGAAGCAACATACGTAAATATTCCTATACGTTGACATTTGTTAGTTAACCTATAGGCTTTCTGTCGTGGACCAATTCAGTCATATATAAATAATATTCTTTTTTTTAAATAACTAAATACTTAATTATATATGAGAATATATGTACTAGTCAACTTTCTACTCATAGATTATTATGGATAATAAGTGAAAATAATCTTCAAACACAAAAGTGGTATTTACTGATGTTTGTCAATAATTCTTATTCACGTAAATATAAGCCTTTCTGCAATATGGATTCTAATAACTAGGATTGAAGAAAACATTGAAGCATCATGTACAATTCATATGAAGGATAGTGAGTTGATTAGATATTTAAGACAACGGACTAAACACTGAATGCTCTTCTATTTCGTTCTGGGTGTTAATAGAATTCTATTGATTAAGAAGTAGTTTAGTTTCCAGGTCAAATGATTTAATACAACAGTTTACTTTCTCTGATCTTAGGTAGAGATTCACAGAAGATCAGTGACAAAGTCTCCTTGCTGCTCATCAGCAAGGGTTTCCTACAAACATCTGAGTTACTGAATAATCACTATTGATTTTGATCCAACCACATGAAGCGGTTTCTTTCAGAATCATCCTAACAAGTTGTTTGAAATCATACCTTATCATATCATTCTCACATTTGGATTAAAGTGTTTTGTTGTTACTTCTTTCAAAAGCCTCATAAAAAGAACAATATAGACCAGATTAGCACCACGATACGTATTTTTCTGTAATTGACTGATCATCCCACATAATATATCACATCTCCTACTAATGAAGCATAACAAGTTGATTTGCCCTCAAAGCATAGCTACTTCCATGGTCGAAATCTAAAAGCTAACACAAGTTAAAACAACTTCTGCAGTTCTTATATTTCACTCAGAATGGGCTTTTCCCAGAAAAATAGAATAATGGTTCTGTCAATTATAAGCCAATGAATGGATACTAATGAAGAATTCTATACCAGTACAAAACAGCCTCATTAACTGATTTTGATCAATATTGAGAACGATTTTCCGAAATAGAATAATCTTCATAGATTCTCTTTCTTAATAAAATGTATCAAGTGGTATTCAATTCTAATGGGGGTAAAATCTATAAGTATATTAGTATTATTATGTTTCTATTATTAAACTCAGGCGGCCTACATGAATATATGAATTAGCTGTTCGTGATATTTAGATATTTTAACATGTTATTTGTTTTTTAATTATATTAACATGTTATTATGTTTATTAATCGCATAACCTATTCAGTTGATTTAATGAAAAAATTATGAACTTTCGCTGTACAAATTACAAAAAAGTACC